TCAGTTTGTGAACATATAAGCTGACTTTGAAGTCAGCTTTCTTCAAAACAGGCTGGCATGGCACAGGAACAACACTTCAAGGTGGCAGAAGACAGCAGAAGCAAAATGGCAGGGGAGAGAACAAGTCTCTTCTCCTCCCTTATATTGTAAGCAAGCTACCACCTGCCCCCCAGGTTAAGTATGGCACTCACACCACCTCCATACCCTCCTCTTGCACAGGCTGAGGTTGTTTACCAAGTAAGTACTCTGGCTTCCTGTTGAGGCACTTAGTTAAACTTTTAAACTTCTCAAGTTGACACGGTGTATCAACCATTACACACCCCCATCCAATCCCTCAAACCCATGGCCTTTCTTGGCTTTTGTTCTTTCTATTAAACCTTAGGCTCAGCTTTATCAAATTCCATGATGGAGGAACTATTAATAGAAATTCATCTTATAGCAATCAAATTCTGCTCTATATCTGTAGTTATATCCTAGGTGGCAATGTCTTGCTCTTTCCCACATGGTATAATTCCAGCTAGTTGCCACTGAATCTAATGAAAAGTTTTGTCTTTAAAAAGCTGTGTTCTCTAACACAGTTTGAACAATTGAATAGATTTACAAGCAAAAATAATTCCAGTTATCTTAGAATTTTAGAATTAAGTCAGCTTTCTGTCACTCCTTAAGTAGTAAAGAGTTATGTAATCCTTTCTTCTACAAAATGTCTTGATCTTTGCCTTGCAGATGAGTATCTTTGCTCCCTCTCTCACAATCACTTAAAAGGCAAGGGAATGAGTAAGGCAAAGGCACAGTCACTCCAATCAGCTCTTTGAAGGCATGTGCACAAGACTGTCTAATGCCCATCCTTCTGTGGCTTCAGAGCTTTACTTCCTATAAAAGAAAGTTCATGGAAGTAGGAAATACTTCAACCTATTTCCTTCCATTCTCTAATTCCCCCCACATCATCCCACCCAAGCTGTATGCACCAGCAGTGAGACTGGTCTTGGTCTACTGCCTGCCCTATTCTGTCCTGGGCATTTAAAGGAAACCTGTGAAGTTTGCATATGAGGCAAACTTCCATTGGTCAAGTGCACCAGCACTTCCTGACTCACATGCTGGCACAGACTTGGCCTTTGGAACTTTTTGTTTACAAGTTTAGCTCATTCTTACTTGTTTAACTAGCACTACATTTCCTCTTTCCCATTGCTCATCTATGGATGAGACTTCCCTAGTGTTCACTCTTTCCTTGGAATGGCTTATGGCTCTGCATTTCAAGTTGGTTCCATCTTAATCCATTTGCTGTTATTATGACACAATAACTGAAACTGGGTAATTTATAAAGAAAAACAGAGGCCTGGGATCTAGCTCAGTTGCCTAGCTCCTGTCTGATAAGCACGAGGTCATGAATTTGATCCCCTGTGCCATAAAAAAGAAACAAAAAAAGAAAAAGGCTTGAGCTCATGGTTCTGGAAACTGAAAATATTAAAATCCGGCAACCCCATCTGGTAAAGGACCCATGAAGCTTTGGCTTGTGGTTAAAAGTGAAAAGACAATTGAGGATTTAAGAATGAGAAAAAGCCAGGCATGGTGGCACATGCCTGTAATCCCAGCACTCAGGAAGCTGAGGCAGAAGGATTGTTGTGAGTCTGCGACCAGCCTGGGCTACAAAGTGAGCTCAAGGCAAGCCTGAACTGCATAGTGAGAGCCTGTCTCAAAAAGACAAAAAAAAAAAAAAAAAAAAAAAGCAACCAGCTTAACTCCCTGGTAAGCAGCCATGGCTAGGCAAGTGGCAGCTGCTCCCAGGAGACAACCAGCCAGCATCTCCCAAGATCCACTCCATTTTGGAACTTAGGGCCCTAGGAAACAAAGCAACCAGCTCACCTCCCTGGTAAGCAACTATGGCTGGGCAAGTGGCAGCTGCCCAGGGAGAGAACCAGCCAGCATCTCCCAACATCCCCCCCATGTTGGAACTTAGGGCTGGGAAACAAAGCAACCTGCTCACCTCCCTGATAAGCAGCCATGGTTCAGGCAAGCAGTGGCCACTCCAGGGAGAAAACCAGCTGCACCTCCCAAGATCCACCCCATGTTGGAACTTAGGGCACTGAGAAACCAAACAACCTGCTTGCCTCCCTGGTAAGCAGCCATGGCTCAAGCAAGTGGGAGCCAGAGAGAGAACCAGTCAGCATCTCCCAAGATCTGTGCCATGTTGGAACTTAGGACACTGGGAAACAAAGCAACCCTCTCAACTCCCTGGTAAGCAGCTGTGACAACATCTCCTCCCTCCCCCATTAGCAAATGGGAGCCAGAAGTCTGAGCATCTCTTGGGAGACTGGCCATATGCAATATAGCTAATAAGGGGGATTTCCTTCTACCATCTCTTTGAAGGCAAATATTGTTATCACTGTTTTGCTTTGTTCTGAATAATTGTATTGCTCTATTCAATGTTCTGTTTTGATAAGTTCTATAATGTTCTGTATTTGGTTTGATTTTACTATACCTGATTGAAAGAACAACTATTGTGAAGATAATGAGATATACTATGCTACCTATTACTGTTATCCCTGTAACCTGCTGTGATGTTTTGTATCAGTTTCATTAGACTGTCTCAATTGGCTCTGTTCTGTCTTGTTCTGTTGTATTTTACTACTTTCAAAATAATTTAAAAAAATTTTAAAGACAAAAAATGAGAAAAAGAGGCTGATGTCTTAGCTCTCCCATTCCTGCCTGAGAGAAAGGTATTAATCCATTCATGAGGGCTTCACCCCATGATCTAAATATCCCTACCCCCAACACTTCTGCACTGAGGAATCAAGCCTCAGCATGTAATGACTTTTGCTGAAGACAAACCATATTCAAACCATGGCAGTTGACTATCTTGTGACCCTTGTTTCTAATGGGCTTAAGGAAAGAAATGACTTTATTTTTGTTTGTTTTGTATTTCTTGTTAGGTTGCATCTTTTCATATCTAAAGCAAAACCTTATAATTGATTTATATTTGATAAATTTACTAAATTCTTTTAGTAATTTCAGTACTTTTTCAACATATTCCTTTAAGTTTTCCAGGTAGAGATAAATATGTTTCTAAGTAGGCAATCATGTCACCTGCAGATAATTTAACATTTCTTAGCATATTATAGCTTTTTCCTATTACAACATCTCAGATCACTTAACACTTTGTTGAATAGAAGATTGGCTTCTGAGTTGGTCCTAATTTTAAAATGTCTATATTAAAATGACTATTTTAAATACTTCATCATCATGTATGATCTTTTCTGTAGATTTTTTTTTAACCTTGCAGGCATTTCCTACTTGTACCCTGCCTGTTCCTTGTACATTTTTTAATGTTATTGTAAGTATAAAAAAGTAAAGGAAATTGTGTTACTTGTATATATAAACCATATTATATATTTTATAAGGAACCAAAACAATTCTTCTTTTAAAAAAAAAAAAAAAGCTTACTGAGAGCCAGCTGTAAATGAGTATGCTAAGCAAATTGAAGGCTGCAATTTTTGTAAAGCTGTTCATGTGAATAAATACTACTGATGAGAATTCCTGGGGGAAAAAAGAAAGAAAGCAAAAAGAAGGGACACCATAGTTTGACACCTGAAGGAATTATTTTTTTTTCCTTATCAACACATTTGAAGGTTTTGGTTTAAAATTAAATATTTCTCCTATGTCTGTTGAGCTTATCTGTAGATTTTTCCCTTCAACCATTACTTAATGTGAATTATAATGTAATTTTGAACAAATCTGTCTTGATCATTGTTTTTGATATATTTTCATGTATTTCTACATTCAGGCAGCTAGTATATAAGAATTTAGCATCTGTGTTCATAAGTGAATTTTATATATAATTTCTCTTTCTCATATTTTCCTTGTGCCTTTCTAAAATTGTGTGGTTATGTTAACAATATTATATTAGCCTCATAAATTTTTTTCATTTTCTGGAAAAGTTTAAGATTAGAATTTTCTGTCCCAATGTCTGTGTTTTGACATTGATTGACATATATTTTATAGCCTAGAACTAAGACCACTTATTTTGGTCAATTGTTGTGAATATTTTGTAGAAGGAAGCAAAATTTTACCTCTTTCCTCTTAGAGTTTGTTCATTTGTTTTGGTCTAGGCCTGAGAATTAAACTATTAATCTATGATGTAACATAGATTAACAGGAAAAAAGCATACAAATTTATTTAATATAAGTTTTATATGACATGGGAATCCTTATAAAGAAATGAAGACTTGAAGAAGCAGTTGTAGTTGAACATTTATCTACCAAATTGAATAGAGTAGTAAATCGTAAAGCCACGACAGGATTTGAAATAGAATTGCTAACTGCAGAGAAACCACTAAACAGATTAGGCTTAATTTAACAAAGTTCATGTGTGCAGAGTCTCTTGGCCTTGGTTCCCATGTCTAGTGATAAAAATGTCTTTCTTCAGATACGGGGAGGACGCCTTCCATCTGGGAGTTCATCTCCTGCTTTCAGGAAAGTCAAAATGTTCTCCCTGCATCTGTGCACTCACTTTCTTTCCTTTCTTTTTTCTCTTTCTCTTTCTTTCCTTCCTTCTTCCTTCCTCCCTCTTTTTTCTTTCTTTTTTCAGAAAATGTCTCAAATGATTCTCCTGCCTTTGCCTTAGCCTCCTACCAGGATTACAGGATTACAACATTATGCCCTCCTTGATGTTCTGTTTTATTAAAATGTCTTTAACTCAAAATAGAAAATGTGCCAGAGTGGATATTTGGGGTTTTATGTTCTGAATTCCTCTAATTCCATGTGTACTTGTAGACTTGGGCACAGCATTAATATTTGTTTATTACATCAGTGTGGTTCATCATGATACTACAACTTTTTGTTTCCTTAACTGATTTCTTTTTTGCTTGATTGATCCATTGCTGACAGAATTGTGTCAAAAATTTCCTGCTGTAATATTGGCTATGTCAATTTCTAATTGTAGTTCGATTTTGTTTTACATAGTTTCAGGCTGCCATCGAGGACATATGAGTATGGAATAATCACATCTTATTTTTTTTTAATTTTATTTAAGGAGAAAGAAGAAAAAGGGTACAAGTTATACAGAATTTCAGAAAAAATAAACAGTAGGAAATCACTAGTTAATTATATATTGTCATCTTAGAAATAGTTATTGAAGTTACAAAATTAAAGCATACAGAGGGGACCTTCAAACAGTGAGACTGCAAACAGTTTTGTTCAATCATCCAACAAAACTCAGCAATATGGTTATCCATCCTACACACCCAAACACACATGCACTTATATCTTCCAGAGAATCTCTCCTCCCTTCTTCCGTACAATGACAATTACACATCTTGGATTTCACTGCTCCCACAGTTCTTATTACTTTTTTTTTAAGAAAGTAAAACCAAATGTGACATACCAGGACAGAGTCAGTCAAATCAAAAGAATGGACATATTACATAATGTAATAACAAAATACAAGGTGATCGACAATGATTACCATAATGCCTCTTGTTATCTTAAAAAGAATTGCCTATATCATCAGTTATAATAAAATTGAACAAAACAGTAAAGAATAAGACCAATAAAACCAAAACATTGCAGACATTAGAGGACTTCAAAAGAAGATACTAGTCAACCAGAATGGGCATCACAATGAATCTTACTGTCTTCATAGTTGTTGCCTAGACTTTCAAACTTGGTACTATCAAGCGTAACAGAATAGAGGAAAATCAGTTAAAACAAGATGGTAAGAACAATACAGAGTTTCAAATCAAGTTAACAGGAAATCAAAGTGGGTTACTATAATATATCCTGCTTTTTAAATTTATTTTTCCCTTAATTAAAAGGATAAAAATGAAAAAATAGATAATAAAAAGGAGATTGAGATAAAAAAAAGAGAGCATAACAACAAAACGGCGCAGGTCAAAACATAGCCATTTAAGCAAAATAGTGTTTCACCACAAGATAATCTCGACATAATAGTAGTTACCATAGTGTCTCTTCCCTTAAAATCTTTGGGTATAACTTCATATACTGTAGCATCAAACATATCAAGACAATGTAAAACCATTCAAGAGAATGACAGTATTACAGCATATTTAGAATCAACTAACAGAAAATGAACAATGGTTTCTGTATAATCTCCTTGTCTATAAAAGTTTTTGCTTATATTATCACATATAATAAAATCCAATAAGATACAACACGTTAAAACCAATGGAGACAGAAGAACAAAAGCTTGATGGGACTTCAAAACAAGATGATATTAAATCAGCACTACCTATTATGATGTCTTGTTTTCTCCAAAATAGCTGTTCCTACCATCCAACCTTCTCTGCCTCATTTCTGTTGAGCAATTTTTCTGTCATTAGTTGTCAGTTTGTCCTCTTCCTTTCGCTTTCTGCTCCATTCATTGTGGCCGCTCTGCCACTGTTTCTGGAATCTTGGTATTTTTTAGAATATCCTGCAGTAATCTCTGTAGAGTTGAATTGGTGGCTGCAAATTCCCCTAGTTCCTCTTTATCCTGGAAGCACCTTGTTTTTCTATCAATTTCTAGGGACAGTTGTGCAGGATATATCAATCTTGGCTGGAGGTTATTATCTTTCAAAGCTTGAATTATTTCCCCCCACATTCTTCGTGATTTGATGGTTTGTACCGAGAAATCTGCTGTAATTCTGATGGGTGTTCCCTTGTAAGTGATCTGTTTCTTGTCTCTGACGGCTTTTAATATTCTGTTCTTATATTGTATTTCTGGAATTTTGATTATTATATGCCTGGGTGTAGCTCTGTTTGGGTTGTAGGTGGCTGGGGTCCTGTATGCCTCATACATCTGAGTATCTTTACCTTTTGCTAAATTAGGGAAATTCTCCTGGATTATTTCTGTGAATAGCTTTTGTAGTTCATTTGTTTGAGTCCCTACTTCTTTTATGTTCTTAAGTTATAGATCCTCTTATCATCTTCTAGTCTTTGTATTATTGCTGTTTGTTTTCTTGTTATTTTTAATAAGTTTTTCATTTTATGCTCCCACCTTACAAATCTGTCCTCCAGTTCTGATAATCTATCCTTAGTTTCTTTCAAGCTGTTATTCCAGCTTTCAATAGAGTTTTTAGTTTCCTGGTAATCTCTTTGAACCTGCTTCACGTATTCTATGTTTTCTCTATTTTCTCCATCAAACAATTCTCCCCTTTTTTCTGTTTTTCCATTCCACCATCTGTTTTTCCTTGGGTGGTGCTTAGCATTTCTCTAACTATTCTACTTATTTCTTGCTTTATTTCATTAAATACTTTATTTTTGAACTCGTCTATGAGGCTCCAGAGATACCTTTTTATATCTATAGGTAACATGTCTGATATTGCATGTTTTCTGTCTTCATTCTCTTTTGCATTTACCTTTCCTGGATCAGTGTTCTCAGGCTTGGGGACTGAGGACCCTTTCTTGTTGCTCCCTTTTCCTATACTTTTTGTTCCTTCCATACAAATGTCTGTAGGAGGCCCAGGTTTTTTTTTTCCTCTTTGTCTGTTACAGTTTGTTTGAATCCACCGGCTAGGTGTTCCTGCCCACTGCAATGTACTAGGGAGACACAGACCTGGGCAGCCTCTGCTGGGCCTGCCCCTCCAGGTCAACCTACTGAATGCTTCACTGCTAGGGTGCACCGCCAGGCGCAGGGACCTGATTTGGGCTAGCCTACTGGATCTTAGTCCATGGCGTCACCAGGCCAAGCGTTCTCCACCACTCCTGCTTGAGAGGGGAATATGCAACTAAAGTCACTGCAGGGCCCTGTTCTGGCTAGTCTGCTCATTCCCAGAATGTCCTCTGTTGGAGCCTCCTAGTCTATGAAAGGGTCCCCATTTCTCTCACTCACCACAGGTCGATGCAGGGCTCCCTGCCAGTCCCGCTCTCAACACCGTTTTGTTCACTGATTCCAGCTCTCAGAGCTTTCGCACGTCTCTCTCCCTGCTGTGCAGATTGGGACGCAGTATCAGCAGCAGGAAATTCAAATCGCGGCTTCTAGTGGCGCAGGATCCAGCTTCCGCACTGAGATTTTATCTGTTCCCTTTATAGCATCAGGATTGCATTTCCAGTTGGTTTCTCTCAGCTTAGTTCGTTCCTGGGTCGGCAGGGTACATTTCCCCTCACGTAGGACTCCTTACACGGCACCACTCCTGAATTCTAAACTGGTAATCTCAGAGAGCCTCCGTGGCTGCTGTTATTTGTCCGCCATGTTCTCCTGGAAGGACCAATAGTCACATCTTATAGATCAGTTAAATATTTATCAGTAATTAGTGACTAATTTTATCTTTATAATATTTTCTTTCTCTTTTTTGAAATACAGTGTTTTTATGGTAAAACACACATAGAATGCAATATATCTTTTTAACCACTCTTAAGTACATAGTTCTGAAGTGTTAAATTCACCTATATTGTTTAACATCCAAAAATTTAACCACATGACAGGAATTACCTTCCTTTGAAGTCTGACTAATATTTCATGGTATATATGTATCACATTTTGCTTAGCCATTAGTCTATTTATGGACACTTGGCCTGATTTCTTTTTCTACCTTTTTACCATTGTAAATAATGCAACTACAGACATAAATGTACACATACATGTTTGAAAGTCTGCTTTTAATTCTTTGGATCATAAATTTATGTTTAATACTATAAAGGACCATCATGTGATTTTCCTTAGTAGTTTCACTATTTTATATTCTACCAGAAAGTACATGGATTAAATTTCTCCACGCCTGAACCAAATTTAATAATATTTTTATTATTAAAAAAATAATAACTGTTGATTATTATTAAAAAATAAAAACTGTCTCGGTTACTATCTTAGTTACTTTTTACTCTCGTTACTCAGACAAAATACCTGATGCCCAAAGTTAGGGAAGGAAAGGTTATTTCTTTCAATTCTTGGAGGTTTCAGTCCATACTCAGTTGGCTCCAAGGCAGCGTGGCATGGTGGGGTAGCCCTTCATGGCAAAAGCAGGAAGCAAAAGCTTTTGCTGTTTTGGCAAACAGCAAAAGCAGGAAGCAGCAAGAGAGAGAGAGAGACAGACAGACAGACAGACAGACTATCTCCCCACCCTCACATCATATCCTGGCTCCACCCCTAGGCGGGTATAGCACTCACACCAGCAATCCAAGCCTTAGACAATGAACCAATCACAAACGCATAATTGCATGAGGCTTGAGGGCCACTGACATAAACCATGATATCCCTTGTCCCCAAAGACTCATGCACATCCTTTATACAAAAGACATTTAGTCCATCTCCAAGAGTTGCCAGAGTCCTAACAGTTTCAGTATTGCTGAAAAATCCAAGTCCCAAGTCTCCTCCAGATCTATAGCAAACTCTTAACCCCCTGTACAAATGAAATAAAGTTAAACATTTCCAAAATGCAAAGGCACAAGATAAACATTACCATTCCAATAGTTACAATCGGGGGAATACAAAGTATTGGAAACAAAGCAAGTCCAGAATCCAGCAAGGCAAACATTAAGTCCCAGAGTTCCATGCTGAGCATTTGAACCAATCTGGTTGCAAGCTCCAACAGGCTTGGGTGATTACAACCCCATGGTGTTTCCAGGGATTTCAGCTCCCACAGCTTCTCTCTTAAGCCCCCTCTGCTTGGTTTTTGCAACTTTCCTTAGATGATCCACGTTCTGGACTTTTCCAAACTTCTAGGGTCTCCACTGCACCTTTGGTTTCACTCTTACATCTTTACATATTGCCTTCTCGGAGGTACAATGCTTGGCCTCCAAGGTCTTTTGCAATTGAGGCGGAAGACGTCTTACCCTCAGAATTTGTGCATTTTCCTTGCACCTAATATTGGCACCATGTGGATGTCACCAAGATTTGCTGCCAGTTCGAGCAGTAGCCAGGCTTTTCTCTTTCTTGACTATAGGAGTGGAGTGCCTGGATCACTGGGATCTGTAAACCTGATTGTGAGAAAAAGTTTCTCTGGAACCTGGTGAGGCTGCCGCCATCTTGGAACCTCGTGTGACTGCCACCATTTTGGAACATCACATGGCTGCTGCCATTTTGAAACTTCATGTAGCCTCTGTCACCATTCTGGAGCATGGTGTTCTGCAGCTTTCTCCTCTGAGCAAATTCTTTCATTTTTGCAGTTTTGAGGCTTCAAAGGATGGAGACACATTGCTTCCTGGGATGCCCCTTGGCCATCTTTCTTATTTCTCTGTTCCTTCTCAGCAATCAAGGTCTCAGTTCTGTCTTTACAATCCACAGCTTTACTGGAGTTTTCCTTTCAGTCAAACTCACAGTGTTTTAAATTCTCCTGCTGAGCTCTTTGTTCTTGATTTGTAACATAAATCTGGCTAAAAGCACTTAACAATATCCATGCCACACCCTCAACATTGCCGGTCTTGAAATTTCTTTTCCCAGATTAATCAGTCCACTGCCACCCTTAATCTTAGTCTCAGGCAAAGTCCCTGGACATGAGCAAAGTACAGACAAACTTTCTGTCATGCCATAACATACATCAACTGGAGTCCCACCACCAATGCAGCCTTATTCCCAGCAGAAACCTAAGCCTGGTCTTTACTGGCAGGCTTTTTTTTTTTACTGGCAGGCAGACCTTCTGGTCTCCTGAGCTCTGACCAGAATCTGCTCTACAGAATAGCCTAAGCTGTTCCAGCTCTATGCATGCAGGCATCATCTCTGAACCTTTCCAAACTCTGCCTACAAGCCCTTTTCAAAGGCTTTCACATGGTCAGGTATAGTTACAGCAATGACCCTACTCTTGGTATCAAATTCTGTCTTGGTTACTTTTTACTCTCGTTGCTGAGACAAAATACCTGATGCCCAAATTTAGGAAAGGAAAGGTTTATTTCTTACAGTTCTTGGAGGTTTCAGTCCATACTCAGTTGGCTCCAAGGTAACATGGCATTGCAGGGCAGCCCTTCCCGGCAGCTGCAAACAGCAACAGTAGAAAGCAGCAAGAGAGACACACCTTCTCCCCACCCTTACATCATGGCTCCTCCCCTAGGCAGGTGTAGCACTCACATCAGCAATCCGAGCCCTAGACAATAAGCCAATCGCAAATGCATAATTGCATGAGGCTTGAGGGCCACTGACATAAACAGTTACTTGCTCTCACTGATGAGACAAACACCTGACACCTAAAATGAATGAAGGAAAGGTTTATTCAGTTTACAGTTTTTGAAGGTTTCAGTCCATACTCAGCTGTCTCCAAGGCAGAATGACATGGCTGAGGGTCAACCATTCATGGCAGCTGCAGCAGAGCAGAGCAAAACCAGTGAGAGCAAAAGGGCAAAAGGGAAGAGAACATCATCTTCCCTCCCTTATAATTGTATGCCAGCTACCCGCAACTGGCAGGGTGCAGCACTCACAATGCCAGTCCCCGCAATAGACAATGAACCAATCTCAAATGCTAGACTCAACCGCCTTTGAAAGACCTGCATCCCCTTGACCACTCAAAGCTTTGTGGGGACATCTAGCCACAATGATAGGGGGCTAGGGATTTAGCTCGGTGTCATAAGCGCCTGCCTTGCAAGCAGGCAGTCGTGAGTTCAATCCCCAGTACCGATAAAAAAGAAACACACACACACACACACAAAACCAGAAACACAATGATAAGCAATAACCATCCTAATGGATAGATGGTGTTATCTACTTGTCATGTTGGGTTTTTGAGGGGATTGGTTTGTTTATTTGTTTTTGTCTTTCTCTGAGACATGGTTTCACTGTGTAGTTTAGGCTAGATTTAAACTCACTTTGCAGTGATCCTCCCATCTCAGCCTCTCAAGTGCTGGGATTAGAGGATGTACCACCATGCCCAGCTCATTTTGATTTACATTGTCATTTTGATTTACATTTTCCTAATAATCAGTGGCAATGTGTGGCTTTTCATATGCTTACTGGCCATTTATGTATCTCCTTTATAGAAATGGCTATTCAAAAAATAAAATAAATAAATAATTTTTAAATGGCTATTCAAGTAAATCTGGTTAATTTGGAGTTGTTTTTGTCTTACTTTGTTTTACTATTGAGATTCAGTGGTTTGTTGTTTTGGTTTTTATTTTGCTCTGTTATTTCATCCTGGCCCCTTTCTACAAGGAATTAAAACTCATTTGAAAGAAAAATAATAAACTTTGATAACTTTGAGATATATGTGCATCCCAAATTTAAATAAAGTTATCAATGTTCATTTGTTATACACATATAAGAAAATTGAAATTATGTCATTTAATGTTGATGAATTACTGATCAGTCCTTCCATGCTTTTGAACACTTTTCACTTTTCTCTTTTCATTTGAACATTGTTTTCCTTATATAATTTAAATTCTATAAATTCCATTTTAATACCTGCTTTATCTCTAAGTAAATTATGTAGTATCATTTACTTACTTTTTCTATTGTTAGTGTTTTGTAATTCTGACTTTCACTAAAATGCTGTAATTAATATCTTGTGTAAATAGCTTCCCCTTCCCTGTCTTTCAAGTATTTCCTTAGGAGAGAGCTGTATTAGTAGACCAATGGAATAAGCATGGGGCGGGGGGGACTCTTTCAACACCTGTCAGATTGCTTTGTGGTAAGTTTGTCCTAATTTATAATCTCATCAGTAGCAAGTGAGTTTACATATAGTAAAGTTATCTCCACTCAACCCTATAGGGGTTATCTCCACTGAACCTTATCATTTAGAATCTTTTTGATTGGGAATGTGATTCAGTAGTAGTGTCCATGTCTAGTATGTGTGAGGCCTTGCATTCTACCTCCAACACCACTAAATAAGTCACTGGGCATGATGGCACATGCCTATAATCCTAGTACTCTGGGAGGCTGAGGCAGAAAGATCAAAAGTTTGAGACCAACCTAGGTGTATTAGCAACTTGGTGAGTCCCCGTCTCAAAATTTAGCGAGGTTGGGCATGTAATTCCATATAAAGGCTCTGTGTTCAATCCCCAGTATTATAAATATAAACAAATACTCTTGCTAATTTTAGAGGTAAAACATTGTGTTCCCTTGTCATTGTCATTTCACCGACAACTAGTGAGTTCAAACAAAATGTTAACTGAATATTCATTTGTTACTCATGGATGTATATTTTATTTGTAAATCATATGTTAATAAACTTGCTCATTTAGGCCACTGTAGTGCCCAAATTACTAATGTTTGTTGCTTTGTTTTTAGTAAAACTGGAACAGCTTACATAAGAAAGATCCTGCAACATAAAACTCCGAAGGAATTTTTATCCTCAGTTATTGCAGAAGTGATACAGCCTTTTGTAGTAGAAGAAGTGAATGAGAGCTCTTGTTTGTCTAGTTCTCTTTCCATTATTGAAGAAACTGGAAATTTCACCTATAAACTCACTCTGGATTCACAAAGTAAGTGTTAAAACATAATACATCTCTGGTGACTAAAGTAAATGAAAAATATCTTCTCAGACTGTTCAGTAAAGCAGTAGGTTTCAAATTTTATTCTAAATGTCAACTTACAAAGTTTACATATGCTTAGCTTCCTGATTATTTATTTGTTCCGAATATAATAAAACCTATCTATGATTTCATCGATATATCAACAGTATTATTTATTCACATGAGGTTATTTTGTATTAACAGTGCACAAAAGTGAGACAAAACAGAAACTATGGGTCCCTTAAAATAAGGAAAAAATTTAAGAAAAGAAAAAACAAATCCATGCAGATTTTGTACAGTATAATAAAATAATTTTAAATCATTTATATAGGATATATTTCAAAAGATCATTTTTGTATAAGGATAGGTAGACTATGTATGTATCAAAGAATACACAGCAAAAATTAGTAAACTTTAAGGATTTTGGCCTTACTCTGAGTAAATGGGAAGCCATATACAGGTTTGTGTGAAAGGCGACACAATCTGTTTTAACAAGATTGCTGCTGTGACAAGAACAGACTACGCAACTGGGAGAGGGCAGGGAGGAAAGCAGAGAAATCAGCTGGGAGACTACTGCAGTAACCTGGTGAGAAATCATACTAAATGTAAGACACGTGTTACCCATCCAAGTGAAGAAGTGAGACAGGCATTTAGAAAAACAAGTGTGGAGCGCAGGAAAATTGAAAATCACCTGTGTATGACTGCAGTGATAGCAAGGTAGAAGATCTGGAAAATCAGTGCGTGTACACAAAGCAAAAGGTTTCACCACAGGCCCTCTGACAATGAGCCTCTGGAGGGTAGGGAGGTATTATTGGTAAAAGACATGAGACAGTCTTGACTGAGAAGAACTTGGCTTCCGAGAACCCAAATGAGGAAAGTATCTCAGGAAGGAAGGACTACTGGGTGTGTAGTGCACTCCTAAACTGATATGGGCAGAAAAATGACAGACTCTAAAATATTTTAAAAGCACTTTATTAGCTGAGCTCAGCAGCAACACTGAAAAGCAGAAAAGCAGCCAGGGAAGTATCAGGAGTTACAAAGTAGCAAGCCACAAGGGGAGGGGTCAGGGTCTTAGGGTCAGTTTGTCCCCATAAAAGGAACCAGGAAGGTGGAACAAGCAGTTACAGAAACTAGGGAGGCAGGGAGGGGGTTACATGGTGGGTATGTTACAAGGTTGCAACTTAACTGGCAAATGCACAAGTTTTACAGGAAGAGAACAAGTTGTAGTAAATACAGCATGTTTTGGGTTTTTGAGTTTATAACAATCCCAGCATTTGGGAAGCTGAAGCAGGAGGATCGTCTCAAATTTAGGGCCAGCCTGGGCTATGTAATGAGACCCTGTCTCAAAAAAAAAAAAAAAAAAAAAAAAGAGAAAGTGAAAAGAAAAAAAGAAGGAGTTCACCTGCATTACATGCCACCAACAAATCAGGTGAGCTTAAATGAAAACTGGTTATTCAACCTGAAAAAGTCATTGGTGATTTGAAAAAGGTGTTTGACTAGGATAGTATAGGCAAACCTGCCTAAAATAGATTCAAAAACTGATGAGAGAGGCAGAATTAAAGACTGCAGAAGCAGGGATTTAGCTCAGTGGTTCAAGTGCTTGCCTGGTAAGCCTGAAGTCATGAGTTCATTCCCCAGTAACAAAAAAAAAAGAATTGAAGACAGCAAATAATGTTAACTTTAGTGGCCCTGAATCAAGGCCAACAATTTGTCATGGCTGCTAGTTTCAAACAGGATCCTAAAGAGGAGTCTTTCTAAGATCTCTTGACCATTTCAGAATTTTAGAAATGTAATGGTCAATTCATTAGAAAAATATAGCTTAGAACCCAACGTGGGCCAGAGAAGAAACCATTTCTCTGCCCCACTGCCAGTAGGGGAGCATCAGTGATGCTCCACCCTGAGCCCCTCCCCCATTCTGGGAACCCCAGATTGGAGAAACACAGGTGCCTAACACAACCCACTACGCCAGGGGGCTGGCAGCAATGCAGGAAGTGCCCAGGGTGCAGCAGCAGGCTGATTCAGAGAAACTCAGGAACCGTCAGGACAAGGCAGCAAAACACAATCTCCAACCTCCAGCCACCAAGAACAAGTCTAGATGACACAAATACAGTGTAAATTAGAGGTCACACCTGAAATTTCAGGTTAATTCTTGTGTTGTCCGATTAATTTTACAAACCTGTATTTGACAGTCTGGGCTGCTATTGCAAAGATGCATTGTAGCCATTGTTAGTTTCCTATAGTCTTGTTTTGAAATCCTGTATCATTTTCATTGTTTTGTTTAGTTTGGTTTTATTCTGTCTTGTTTTGTTTAGTTTTATTATGTCTGATGTTCTGGGCAGCTATTTTGAAGATATCAAGAGGTATTATGGTAGCCACTGTTGATTACCTATCTTGTTTTGAAGTCCTATATCATTTTCATTGTTTTGTCATATTTGGCTTTATTGTTTTATTTGGTTTGGTTTTAATTTCTTTAAAATAAAATGTTTTAACATGTACCTTTCAATTGGGCCTGGTGGTGCCTGTCTATAAATAATCCCAGCACTCCAGAGGCTGAGACAAGAGGATCACTGTGAGTTCAAGGCCAACCTGGGCTACAAAGAGAGTTCCAGGACAGTCTTAACTGCATAGTGAAACCCTATCTGAAAAAAAAAGTAACTTGAAGGGAATTTTTTTCTGAAGGTGAAACTATACCGCCTTTTAAGGGAATGCTGGGAAAAACTGGGGTTGCTTTGAAACAGGAGTGTATGTGTGTAGTAAGGAGAATTATAGGCTCTTTTCTGGATTATTTGTAATTTCAGAGTGAAGAAAATCTTCTCATGTTTAATGACCTATTGAAAACATGTAACGATGATGTTTCTTTCCTTGAAATAGTCTTTTTTCGGTTTTGTTAACATCTTCTCTGATGGATTTTCTCCAATTGTTTCTTCCTTGTATCATTGATACAATCTTTTCCCTATTCCCATTCCTTAAGTGATGATGTTCTCAGAGTTCCTTCCCTAAATCCTCTTCTGCATCTTCTTGCTCCCCTTGAAGAATTAACCAACCAACAAACTGAGTACCTTCAATGTAATAGGCACATATTTTTTTTTTTTAACACTGGCTGCGTTACCTTCTCTTGTGGAATCATAATAAATAAGGCTTTTAATAGTTCCATAGTAAAGAAATGAACTTTCCTTGTGGAAATTCTTATTTACTTTCTTTCTTGCCCTGGGCATATGTAGTAAGTTTCTGAAGTCTATCCTTTTTTTTTTTTTTAAACTGGAAATCGAACTCAGGGCCTTGCATTCGCCCAGCAGATGCTATACCACTGAGCTATATCCCCAGCCCCTAAAGTCTATTCTTATTTTTTGGGTGATTTCAAATGGAATTCCAGGGTTAGTCTCAAGAATGTTGGGAGGAGGGTTCCAGTTCTGTTATGGCTGAAGGAAATGAATACATTTCCACAAAAATGTGGTAGATAAAAAGGTGAATTACAAATATTCACCAAAATATCTTCTTTGAAGGGTGGAGAATGTGGGATAGTGGATAACTCCCTTCTGTTTTCTATTACCTGGACTTGGCAGATTAGTTCTAAATTTTATGGGATAATCTTAAAAACTTAGAAATACCCATATATAATCATTTGCTTACCATATGATTTATTACCATGAAAATGAACTAAATGACATTTCCACTTCTTGAAAGAGATAGATACATGTCTTTTTATAAGAATACCAATCCTAACTGGGCATGATGGCATGTGTATGCCTCTAATCTCAGCACTCTGGGATGCTGAGACAGAAGGATGCCCAGGCTCAAGCCCAGTCTGGGCAATTTAGCAAGACACTGTTTTGAAATTTTAAAAGGAGTTGGGCTGGGGACAGGGCTCAATATGAAGGTCTTGCTTTCAGTCTGCAGTGTTAGAAGAAGGAGAAAGGGAGAAATAACTTTCTTTACTTAGCTTAGGTTTTTTCCCTACTCAAATTTTTATACATCAATTTCACAGTAAATTAACGTATAGGTTTAAATATGATATATTCATGATAAAGTTTCTAGAAGATACATTTGAATTACAACATGAAATCTGGCAAATGTGTTTAGGTAAGATCATATTTTAAAAACTCAAAATGGTTTATTAGTTATAGCTGCTTGTATGCTTAGTGAATATTATCTGTTACACCAAATCTTTTCTTTTTTATCTCCAGTTGTTAATGCCTTGTTTAACGTTACTGATATAGAGAAAACGGTGGTGATTCCTGGTTACAGCAGCTTCCTGATCACAAATATCCTAGATGATAAGAATGCTTTAGCTATTGCTACTATGCCTGCAATAGCACCCAACAATGTAACCTTTCTAAAGGGCACCTGGTTCTTGTACAACTTTGGGCAAAAGAATGGACGAACATGGAATATATACTCAAAGCCATGTCATTATTTGCTTCAACAACTTGATGACTCACCAACTCTCAGTGATGTGAAATACATTGATTTGGGAAGCTCTCAGACATTACAAGTTAAAGTCATACCTAATAAAAAAAGTAAGTTTGTTTTTATTGGTGTTATTGCTTGTGTTTAGATGTTCCCCCAAAGCCTCATGCAGTCATAGATGAAGGGTTTTCAGAGGTGCCTAGATCTATAGTGTATAAATGCTATAATTGATTCATAGTGCAATGCTAGGATCAAGGACATTAGGATTAAAGGTGTGAGTGCTACCCTAAGCAGCCTGCGTAAAATATAAGGCTTGCTTTGCTACCTTCTGCCTTCCATGGACTGTTTCTCCTCTGTGATGCCTGTCTACCATGCCACTGGGCCTTGGAATCAGTCAATTATGGACTGAAACATCTACAAACTGTGGGCTAAATAAACCTTTCATCCATTAATTTGTGAGTGTTGAGTATTTTGTCTCAACAACAAGAAAAATAGCTAAGATAATTGGGAAAAGTCAAAAGCAATTATTCTTTTGTTTCTTGAATATAAAGTAAGCCTTTGCATATTTACCTTAGGTTTCCATAATTGCTGGCATACTATTAATAGCAAGAGTGAGACCAGTTAGACAGACAGTAGACAGGTAACATAGGGACTTTAGTAAACCAAAATAAACCCTGAAAAAAATCAGAACATGAAAAGGAAGGAGCTCCATATGCATCAGAAAACTAGAGGGCAGGGAAGCCAAGGAACAATGTTTTCCTGATGTCAAAGGCCCAGCTACAAATGACAACCCATTAGTCCAAGGGGCAAGGGCCTGAGTAAACTGAGCTACGCAGTGGGAAGCTGGGGCATGGGGGAATTCTGCTCCTCCTAATTTCAGAAGCCTAAATGAAAAGTGGCAACTACATTGTTTGATTGTCTCGTCTTCACACACCTACTAAAACAGCTCAACAAAAGTACATAAAACTCCTGAATTTGGGTACTTCCCCAGCAACCTCTGTTGGGGTTCCTCTCAGGTACCAAGAACTTTTCTTTGTTCTTTCTAATAAACTACACTTGGCTTATTCCCCTCTACTGTCCTGTCAGCTTTACTCTTCTTTGTCCTTAGGACAAGAGCCCAGGAACAAAAAAATGGCTACATCTTTGGTGCCCAACATGGGATCTACTTCTGTATGGAGAGGTAAGTGTGATGGAACAACCAGACCAAACTTTCTTTGTTAAACTCCTGATGATACTCTTAGACAGTTGGAATGTTGACCAGAGAGGGAGCGGAAATCCTTTCTGAGGTAGATCTCTGGATGCAAGAAACAGGTGAAAGCCAGTGTAACAACTGCAAGTCTCTTGCCATGTCTGCTTTCCAGTGGATGCTCAGAGATCCTCTGGTGGAAATCAGGTCCTCGCAGCCTGACTGAGTATAGAGCAAAGAAGCCTCCATTTGCCTTACCACATCCAGCCTGAGGTGAGAGGTAACCCTTGATGCTGTCTAAGTATTCCCCTTCCAGATGATCTGAGACCCCTCTGTCTGTCAGAGCCTTCTCATAAACCTCCACTAAAGTTGAACCATAGATCTTGGCTTTTCTCTGTCTGCTAGTATGACAGACTCCCCTCTTCTTCATATATTTCTTGATATGTTTACTGGCCTGGAAACAGGTTAGGATCTTAGCCTATATTCTGGGCTCCCTGGTCCCTGATGTCTCTGGTGTCCATACCTCTACCCTAACTTTTATACAGCCAATGCCTAGTAAGTAATTCCTTGGATTCTCCAAAGAAGATTTGTCAGAACAAAGGTCAAAGATAAGGAAGAGCGCCTTAGGCCTTTTTAGTAAGCTTCACCCAATTCTCCTGCAGTGCTGGGGATTGAAGACTAATTTTGGAAATCACTCAACCACTTGCTTCAAACTTTAGGATAGAGACCGCTATTTTTCCAGACATCAGTCACTTAATACCACTGTCTCTCTCTCCTGGATACTGGACTAAGAGATATCCATATGAGGGATTCCTGTCACTCCTCAGAGGCCCTCCAAATTTATTCAATCTAAATCCATCTATCCACTATGAGGCTTATAACTCAGTGAACCCTCCTGAGACAGTAAGAGGATATATAGTACAACTAATGTGGACCAATCTATCAAGGGGGTTTGCTCTCTTGCTGTCTTGGGCAGGGATAGGCAAAGAAGAGAGAGCAATAGTCAGCACAAAGGGGATGTCATTTCCTCCCAGCCTCTCTTTACAGAGGGGAAATCCTGAGACTCAGAAGGAGCTTTCCTGTTATTTCCCCATAGGCAGTAACCCCTATCAAAAGAGCAGTTTTCCATAGCAACTGTAATACAGAGTGCCCAAGGGACCTGCTCTGTGGACAGCAATTCCAAAATTAAGATAACTATCAGCCTAACCTTCCTTTAAATAGTCCTTCCCACTCTGACTCTAACTGGTGTTAACTCATAATGAAAGAGCTCTGTTATGATTCACCTAAAAGGCACTAATTATTAACCTCTTAAAAAGTCCCGATTAGTCTATTTATAATTATAATCCTAAAACTATAACAGATTATTATAGTTCAACTTGCCCGATACATCTAAGAGTATGCTCTGATTTAAAAGTAATTGTTTTATATATTCTGCATTTCTTGTTTGTTCATTTGAATGGATTAAGGTAGATACAGCTGCTCCATTAAAGCTTTTTGAGTTTATATCAATTTTATTTTTCCTTTTTTTTTTGCCCTTGTAAACTTCTCACTCTTTGGGGACTTTCTGTGAAAAACTAATTACATGGGTTTTGGGGGATAGCCAGACTCAGTACATTACAAGATGACAGCTAATAGGCTTGAGGCTTACACGGGACTTACAAATAAAAGTCTTAAAGTTTAGTAACATGAAGTTTATATATGATTTAGGTTAATACATATTTATGGGGTTTTTTATTAACTTTCAAATATATATTATCCTCCAAAATTTCTACTTAAGTTTGCTTATAGGTAAGTAGACACACTATTTACTCAAATGCTGTTTGGTTCACATAGCTTAACAGTGAACTAATTTAAATCAGTTGGTAAGAGTAAAGATATCATTAAAATTGGTGACTTTCCATCCAGGTTGTTTGCCAATCAGGATAATATCAAAAATTGGTAAAAAAAAAAATGGCTTTACATTCCTAAAATTCATCTAGAACCGAAGAGACCTAGAATAGCAAAGGCAATATTGGTCAACAAAGGCAAGGCAGGAGGCATTATTATTCCTGAGTTGAAATTATACTACAAAGTTATTATAAGTCAGGGTGGTATTGGAAAAAAAAAAAAACAGACCTGAGGAGTGTTAAGGTGAGCCTTGAATTTTTGACTGTCTTGTCTCAGCCTCCAGGGTGTAGCTGGGATTATGAGCATGTACCACCAAGCCTGGTGAGAGGCTTTTGTTTGAGACTTAAACTCTTCTTGCCCTGGACCCAACAGACAATATCAATAATCAAAATAGAAAATTTTCCTCATCTCTTCCCCAGGTGCATGTTCCTTTCAGTGCACAGAACTGTCTCTTCGCTGACCCTAGTCAGTGATTTGAGATGGAAAGTTCTCTGAAAACTTTTAAGTCAAGAAAGGCGATGTCTGTAAGGGACAGTATGTGAGAAGAGAGCAGCAGTTTTGTTCATATGCGCAGAGAAGGGAACTTGTATGATTTCAGCTAGCAATACAAAATGAGATAGACTAGCCCAAGAAGACATCCCCAGATAGATTTTTTTAAGTAGTCAGATATACTTGTTTCTCCTAAAACCTCAAAACATCATTCTTCAAGGTCATGAGAGAGAAAATAAAAGTCAGATAATGAAGAAAGCACAGGAGCCAGAGCAAAAAATGAAGAGGCCTATGACACCGAGCTCCCATTAAACTGAGATCCCGAGTCTCCTTACGCCTGACAACTGCTCAGGATTTATCCCATCTCTTGCTATTGCACAGAGACTGAATAAACACAATAAGCCTACCTTTTGTTTTGTTTTGTTTTTTAAACTTTCTGTTGTTTGTTTTTTTGACACAGGGTCTCACTTTGTAGAGCAGGCTGGCTTTGAACTCACTGTGTAACACAGGGTGGCCTCCAGTTTAAAGTGATTCTCAGCCTCCTGGGTGTTAGATTATAGGTATGCACCACCACACCCAGCTAAACCTTGATAAATCAAGACGGCATTAATCCAAAAATAAATCCTCTAAAGAAACACAAGTCTGAGAAACAGAATGATAAAGAACATTCTCCTTATAAAGGAAAAGAGGGACTAAACTCTACTGAAAATGGTGAGGGCAGACACAATGCAAAGAAAGCCAAGAGAGAAGTCACTCAAGATCTAGATGCTATGAAAAGTGCCATCACAGTAGAAGCTGGGAGCAGAAGAGGTCTGATCCAGGAGTAGGACAAAAGAAATCGGGATCCAGAGGAGAGAGATGATGAAGTCACAACTCAGAGCCAGGGACAGAAAACAGCCTTAGATCTCCTTCCCACTCAAGATCAAGACACAGGACAGGAATCAGGAGTCAGACAGGAAGTAGAAGCCAGGACAGAAAAAGAACTAAAAGGCTAGAGTATTTGGCTGAAATTTAAGCCAGACCTCTAGCCTTTCTTTCAGAGGCAGACACAGCGGTGGATGCGCAAGAAGTTTTAGTAGGAAATAGGAAAAGGCAAAGAAATCACAAGAGCATCAAGAAAAAGAAATGGTTGAAAAACATGAAGAAATAGTTGCAGCAGTTGCAACCTCTGCAGATTCTGTTCTTGATACCTGGCCAGCACCAGGAATACAGTGACCCCTCAGACACTTAAAAATGGCAACCTTGGAAGCCAAAGCACTTGCACAGAGTGGAATAGCTGTGCCCAACTACTATGCTCCAGCAGCTGTGAGCCCAATGATATTGTCTAAAAAAGAAGTACAAAGCTTTGACAAGGCAAGAAAGAAGGACTTCTCATATAAGAGAAGCCATGAGCTATTTAATGTATGAGCTTGTATGTCTCATAGATAATAAGAAATAAGGAGATAGATCATTCTCAAATGGGAAAGGGATCAAGAGATGGAGGAGGTAGGGGGGAAAGAGGCGACAGGGGAATTGAAAAAAGGGAATTAATTGATACACGTTATGTACATATACCAGCTCCACAGAAGAACTATAAGCATGTACTACAAACAGGTAAAGGAAATGAAAGAAAGGAAGAAAGAAGGAAAGAAAGAAAGAAAGAAAGAAAGAAAGAAAGAGAAAAGTAGGGGAGAGGAGAGAAGGGGAGGGGGAAGGAGGAGAGGAGGAAAGGAAAGGAAAGGGAAAGGGAAAAGGAAAGAGAAAGGAAAGGAAAGGAAAGATAAGATGAGAGAGGAAGGAAGGAAACAGATAAATCCCAGTCTGCTGAAATATGGGAGAAATTACATTTTGAAAACAAGGACCAAAATGTCAAATGTAGGAAAGTAATGGTATTAAGAGTGAAGGTGAAGCTGGATGTGTCTCAATCGATGAAGAAAGTTACAGGATGTTTGGCTTGTACCTAGATGTCTCCCCAAAGCTTGACGCACTCATAGGTGGGCCTTTTGGAAGTGAGTGGATCTAGAGTGTGTGCATGTGGATGAGGGAGGTGTGAATATGGATGAAGGATATGATAATTGGATTAGTCCACTGATGGATTTAGCATTGTTATGGATGTGGAAAATGGGAAGACCCTAGATGAGGGTCTACACTAATAGGCTTGTAGTCTTGATGGGATACAAAAGGAAGAATGAAAGCAGGCTTGCTACTTGTTTCTGCCACTTCTGCTGTGGACTGTCTCTCTTCTGTAATTACGCTTTGTTATGCCACCCTGCCTTGAAGCCAGTTGACTATGGATTTAAACCTCTACAAATTGTAGGCTACAATAAACCTTTCCTTTTTTAACTTAAGGATTTCAGGTAGTTTCTCCCAGCAAAAAGAAAAGTAGCCAAGATATAAGACATTGAAGCAATGGGAAGAAGTTTTTAGAAATCTAGTTGCTCAATATGAAGTGGCAAGATCACAAACCCACATACAAATAAGGATGAGTTTGAACTTTGCATCTTTAATGTGAGGAATGAATGCAGTGTGAGAAAGAGCACACTTTTAAAGTTTGAGACTTTATAGAATTCTTGTTCAGATGTTGGGTTCTTGTTCACAAAAGAGCACGTGTTCTAGCTTGCATGGGTTGTGCTGACTTTAATTTATTGAAAAATAAAATACTCTGTAAATATCAGATCACTAATACTGGTGTTAGTGTTGTAAAATCCACTCCTATTAAACTTGACATGAGTATAGAAGAACAGTACATTTTAGTTAATGAATTCTACTTTTCAAATATATTAAAGTGAGATAAAAATCTCAAACATGGATCTTTTTTGTGTCCACTGTCTTATATACTTTTGTATTTAACCTTCTAATTATTTTCATCTCTTGAAACATGAGAAAATGTTATGTAGATGTTCTTTAGATCATCTGGCCATTTGGCACATAATTCAGTACAAATAAGCTGTGTGGTAATATAAGTGTTTTTCTAAAAAAAAATTTTTAAAGAGTCATCCATGCTAAGATTCCATGTCATAAACCAAAATTAATGTACTAGCTGATCTTCCCAGGTAGGGGATATAGCTCAGTGACACAAGAACCTGCCTTGCAAGCACCAGGTCCTGAGGTCAATTCTCGGGACCCAAAAAACACAGTCTGATCAGCACAGAAATCAGAAGTATGAGAGGTAGCTAAATTTCCCTGAGTGGTCCAGTCAGTTCAGTTGCTTCTTTCTGAAGAATAACCTGATGCCACTCAAAGTAGAGTCCCAGATCAGTCGTTTTAATGTCATATGGACATTTATTAGACATTCAGAATCCCAGGCCCATTCCTAACCTGCTAAATCTGTGTTTTAACAAAATCCCCACTCAGAGGTTAGGGAAGCACTGACCTAATCATGTTGGTTAAGGAAAACAGCTTCAGATGAGGCCAGAGGCAAATGATTTTTTACTTCTCCACTTTGGTTTACTGATTAATAAAGATGGCAGACTATATGGTATTTCAGATCTTCCTTAATAAAAGTTCACAGCATGGCAGGGCTGAAAACAGGTAGTCTGTTGGTAGGCAGACAATGACCTGATGACACCCTGGATTTGGACTGAATTGCCTACGAATTTTCTCTTGGCAACAACTGACTGGCAGCCTCTTAAATTGAGTATGTATTCTCTAGGCTTTCTATTAAGCTAACCAACTAAATGTAACCATAACTCAGCACGATGGATTCACATCTTAATGAATACAAAGCCAATAAGCACATGCCAGAAAGAAAAGAGTAGAGAAGTTTATTACTTGCTACAAGGCAGGAGCACACGTGGGATAGCTCCCAACACAGCACCTCCCCGGACAAAGAAAGCAGGGGCTTTTATTGGGGAAGCTTATACATATTCATATTCATAAAGAAGATGCTTTCTTCAAAGTTATATATCACCTGTCCACAAAAGCATGCTGGGCAAGAATGCTGCTGGGGAGAGAACTTAGTATTAAAATGAGCAGGGTTTACTGTAGATTAGCTAAAAAGAGTGAGTCATCATGACATGGCAATTTTTCTGGCCCCTTGTTTCTTGGAGGACCCTACCTGAAACCAAAAAACAGTAACTCTGAAGGAACATTAATGTTCACTTAACGTGTTGTGGCAAAACCAGAACCAGGAAAGGAACAACACCCGGCAAGGTTTGGAGGCAGTGAACAGCTTTTTTTACACCAGTGGACCTGACAGGGATCACTCCCAAAGAAGTCAGGCCCAAGGCTCAGAGAGGGAAGCTTTTACAGGGTTGAAGTGGAAGCACAAAGAGGTAGCGGTTCCCCTTTTGCCACCACAAGCACGGGTGATTGTTCCTAGCACTACTTACTTAGCAGTCAACGGAATCAGTTTTATTCGGATGACCTTGATGTACTTTTGAGAATCCGGCTGAGGAATGAAACGTGGAGGAGAGCAATATTTCTCTGAGAAAATACTGGTGAGGTTAAGTTTTCCTGAGAAGTAGTAAAGAAGCCACTACATAATTTGCTAACTACATATATTTGCAGCCATGACATCATCTTTAGAATAGATTTTGCAGGTGTTCTAAAATCCCGATGAGCCAGTCATGGTTAAATTGTGTTTATACTTGTGTAATATATAACTACTGGTGTTATTTCCATAGGTCTCAAAACACTTCAAGTCCCAACACTGAAAGTATTAGTTGGAAACCCAAAGTTGTTGGAAATTAAAGTTGAAGGCTCTTTTGATGATGCTGATAGTTATCTAATGAAGATTTCTGTGTCTAGCAAAACTTTTCATCAAGTAAGATTTTCCTTAGCTACAAATATTCTATTAACTATAAAAAATGTAGCATATAAGCTAAGAAAAAAATAAAAATTACACTTAACCCTACCTATCAAAGATGACTAAGCCCTTTTAGCACATTGAGTATTTAGAAAGGCAGCATACAGGATCAAAACAGAGGTAACAAGCGTGACGTCTGGAGATGACTACCTGAGTTAGGTACGTCTCACTCTAGTACAGTCTTGTGACTTTGGAAAGGTGACCAAGTTTGTCCATCTGTATAATGGAGGTTGTAGTAATTTTACATACTTTATAGAGTCTTTAAAGAATTAAATGTAAATAATACAAGTAAGACATCTAAAGCAATGTCTGGACTGCAGGAGTAGCTCAGTGCTAGAGCTCTTGCCCAGCATACATGAAGCCCTGGGTTTGATCCTCAGCAATGTAAAAAGAAAATATTCCAGAATCTAAAAAGTGCTTGGGGTACTGGGGATTTAGTTCAGCGGCATAAGTGCCTGCTTGGCAAGTGCAAGGTCGTGAATTCAATCCCTGTTTCCACAAAAATTAAAAAAAAGAGGGGGTGGGGGCTTGGTAACTATTAACTTACAATACTTTGGTTTTTTCCTTCAAACTAGGAAAACATTACACATACACTTTTAGAAAGTTGCTCACTAAATACAGTATATGTTTTAATTCCTTAAATCAAGAAATATTTTTCTACATATCTTAAAACTTTTTTTTTTTTGAGACAGGATCTCACTATGTAACCCAAACTGGTTTTGAACTCATTGTGATCCTTCTGCCTCAGCCTTCCAAATGCTGGGATTACAGGAGTGTACCACTATACCTGGCCTAAAACTCTTTTACCATGAAAACTTTCAGGTATAGACAAAAATAGAGCTTTCAACATACCAACCACCCAAATTAAACAATAGTTAAGATTGTGCTACTCTTTTGCATTTTATTTAACATTTTTCTATTCTAATATACTTTAAAATGAATAGCCAGCAACATCATTTCATTCCTACATATTTCAATAAACATCTGTAAAAAAAACACTTTTATTAACTCTCATATGACCACAATATTGCATCATCCCTAAATTTTTAAAATAGTGTTTGAAAACCCTGTTTACAACCATATTTTCCCAATTTTGGAAAAAGATATTTTTTTATAGTTGGTTTTTTTACGCCAGATACAAACAAGATTCACACAATATGTAATTGTTTTATCTAAGTTTTAATCAAGAGCCCCTACAACTCATTCTCTTCCCCGGGTTGAAACTGAGACACTTGTATTATAAGATGTCTATCTTTGGATTTTTCGTTTGTGTCTTCGTATCTTACTTATCCTGTGCCTTTAGCCCCACATTTTCTTTCATAGTAGATTCTTACTTGAATTCATGTTCAATGTGTTTGACCAGAGCACATAAAAATGCACCTTTTGTATGGTTACATCATATGGAAGCAGAGGAAAGAAACTATACGCCACAGTCTATGACATTCACTAAATTACAAGTATTACAACATTTTTAAAGTTCCAAAACTACTTTAAAATGTCAAACAAAATGTATTCATTTTCAGTGAGTGCTTAATATTATTTAAGGATCAAATATATTTGCTGTGCATAAATTCCTACCAAAAACTTATTTATTTATCCATGATTGCTAAGTAAATAATTTTTTAAATGTAGACCTATAAAAGTTACTTTATTCATATCATCAAAACAAATATCAGGTGCTCATTAGTGAATTAGTAAATCATATATGTGAAGCAGCTGTAGATTTCTTAATCTTTGTTCATTTCCAAATGATTCTCAAAGACAGTTAATTGTAATATTTCTTCCTGTTATGATTTATCCCAAACAGATTTTTGTGGTCAAATTTATCATTCTGTTTCTCTTTAAGACAGGATCTAGGATTTGCCCAGATTGGGGTCAAATTCATGATCCTTCTGATTGCACCTCCCAGAATGCTGAGTTTATAGGCATTCACCACTATTCCTAGACCATTTTACCTTAATTTCCTCGTTAGAGGTCCTAGCTCCAAATGCACTTTCTGAAGTCCTGGGTACCTCATATAAGTACATAAGATTTTTGTGTGGATACAGCTCAATCTGTGACGGTTAGTTTAAGTAACACTGACTTATTTGGAAATATCCAGGGTTCCACTTCACTAGCATTGATCATCTGGGGAGCGTCCACTGAGTGCTTTGTGACAACGCTGGTGCCAACTTTGAAAAGCAGCTGCAGCTACCTTACCTCCATGCATCATGTTCCCAGCCAGCACATCCCAAAGGAAGACTGGATTAGTGGAGTTCACAAAGACAGCCAGGGTTTTAATCTGATCCAAACTTTGCCGGTAAGAATTTAAGTGCACATGTTGGTGTGAGAATGCCAGTGACGTAGTCCTTTTGTATACTCAGATGAGCAGTCAGTTTTAGCATTTCTTTGCTAAGAGGCACAAATACTTCACAGTCATATTTGAATCTTCATTTCATTTTGAGACTATGATGATATTTATTTCTACGTGTGAAAACTTTCTAAAATAATTACTTTTCTTAGTAACTTGGTTTGGCATAGTTTGTGCCATTTTATACTTTTAATGATCTTGGACTTTTGTAATATACACTACCCTTAGATTGACCTGCCCTAAGGTAATGTATGTGGCTGGTCCCATTTCAGTATATCACTTTTAACTTTTGCCTTGTCAGATCTATAACTTTATTAAATAAAAATTAATTTGCTACTTATAATTTCTTTATGATATAAGGCAAATAAAAATTTAAGAATTATTTAGCTCAATGTGGCTAACAGGCCACATCCATTCCAGATCAGGTTCCATCATTACATCTTGTTTTTACCCTCCTGTCTAGATCTTAATGATGACAGGTTGTATCCTGTCTCCCAGTCAGCCTACCATGCTCTAATCTCCTACCTCATTACTAGGTAACTTTTGACATTTCTTCAGTTATACCAATTAAAGTGAACTCCTGTTTCTTGAACACAAGTTCTTATCTTTTTTTTTCATGGAGCTAAAGCAGCAGAGTTACTGTGAGTTCAGGTTCAGCCTGGGCTACACAAGCAAGTTCAAGGCCAGCCTGCACTAGTTAGTGAGACTGTCTCAAAATAAATAAGTAAATAAATAAATAAATAAATAGTTGACTGACATATTTGATAACTTGACAACCTGTGAAATTGGTGTACTGTATTCAATTTTCAGATCAAGGTCCAAGTTTTTCAAAGTATAGAGTCAAAACAAATTCAGGAGAACCTGGGCCAGGGATTTAGCTCAGTGGTTTAAGTGCTTGCCTGGCAAGCATGAGTCATGAGTTCAATTCCCGGTACCAAAAAGAAAAAAAAATTCAGGAGACCCCATCTTCTTAAATGCTGATACTTTCTGAAAAGATGTTCAATGACCTTTCAGATAATTAAAATCCACAGATAGTTCCAGAGAACTAAAGCAGATCCTCTTTCCTCAGCCTCCTGAATGCTGGAATTACAAGCATATGCCTCTGTTCCTGGTCTGATTCCTTAAATGTTGAGACAGTGGCAAACATTCAAAATATCAACCAAATACAAAAGGAATGAAACTTACAACAGGAACTAGACTTTACAAAGTTGACAAAGTGGCATAGAGAATTCTTAAAATCATGTACAATGCTCATGGCAACCGGGTCCCTGCAGTTAAACCAGTTAACAGTAAAGGCAGAGAAAAGAAAAAAAGGAATGTTTTCCAAAATAATTTGCATGACTGTAATTCAGCACTCAGTGGGCTAATAAGGCAGGAGGACTGCGGTATGTTTGAGGATAGTCTGGGCTACGTGAGGGAGTTCAAAACCAGCCTGCAGTACATAGTAAGACCGTGACTCCAAACAAAAAAAGAAACCAAAAAAAAAAAAAATGCAAAGCCCTAAGAATTAATCTGTATATCCAGGTTTGGTGGCGCATCTCTATAATCCTAGTATTCTGAAACATCAAAGTCGGGAGATTAAAAATTCAAGCCTGGCATGGTGAACCTAGCAGCTTAGTGAGACCCTGTCTTGAAAAAAAATTTTTAAAGGATGGAATGTAGCTCAGTGCAAAGAACCTCCATGCTATCCTCAGTACTTCAGTAATAATGATGATAGTGATGGTGACGCTATGCATATATAGTAATTAAGGGAAACCATTAGGACGTTAGGCTTTTGGTAGTTTTTATAAAATAACTCTACCTGCTAAGAGAATAGGAGAGCCAGACTTTTGATACATATCTATATCGCAGCACTCAGGCTGAGGGAGAAGGACCGCGAGTCCTTCTTGAGCGACTTAGCACTCAGTGAGGCACTGGTTCGAAATTTTAAAAGGAAGTATTAAAAGGGCTGGGGGTTGAAACAAATCTTTTATAAATGGGGAGGAAAAGATGGGCTGAAGGGAGGGAATGGGGAAAAAAGAGAAGTTATGTCGTGTGCAAATACAAAATGTCTATAATGAATATGATCATTATATATCCACCAATAAAATCTGTTTTTAAAAAATTATTTAGCTTGTCTCTTTTATAAAATGCTCAGCGATTACATAGACTTTATAGCAACTATTTTAGGATTTAAAAGTAGTTTTCACTTATTTACAAGCTCCAAGAAATGTTATCACTGGTTGAGGTTGTCAGAATTCCAGAAAATAAAAAATAGGAGTGTTGGGAAATTTACCTTAATACCTGTAGCTAAAAGTGAAATATTTGCATCAAATATTTTCCTATAAAGTCAAGATATTTTCAGACTTAGTAATAATGAATGCATATTTTCCGTGTGTAATTGTTTCAGGTAAACTACCGGCCTCCGTCTATTATGGGAATTGCTATTCCACTGACAGATAATTTTTATCATGCAGACCCTAGCAAGCCCATACCAAGAAATCTATTCAGCAAGTCGAAGGTAAATAATTGTTCTATAAATAAACTAGTATGGTATTTATTTGTGTTCAAGAAATAGTAAAGTTACAGATAGATGTAGCTGTATGGATTAAATGAGAAGGTGGGGCTATTATTATGATCATTATTAGTATTACCACTACAGCAATCCCTTCTGTTCCCCTGCTTTAGCCACCCTTCGTTAGCTGCTACTCTTGATACCACTGTTTGCTTGCTTGCTTGCTTGCTTTTTTAGTCCTGGAGACTGGACTCAAGCCTTCCCACTGAGAGCCACACCCCCAGTCATTTTATTAAGGGTTTTGTTAAGTTGCCCAGGCTGGGTTTGAATTTGTAATCCTCCTGCCTCAGCCTCCCACAGCACTGAGATTATAGGCATGTACCACCACTCCTGGCTTTGGATAGCATTTTCAAACAAGACATAGAGAATCCTTAAAAATTGTTGAACAAACTAACAATACATATTGCTAAACTGTAGTTAGTCAGCCTTCTATTACTGTGGCAAAATACTTGAGACAAAAAAAAAAAAAAACAACATGAGACAGTCAACTTTTCTCTGGACATAATGGGTATGAACCCACAGCCTCATGCTGAGCTACCTCCCAGCAACCCTTTCCTCTTACCCCTTCCTTTTAAATTTTTGAGACAGGATCTTACTAATTTGTTAAATTGCCCAGAATAGCCTTGAATTTGCAATCCGCCTTCCTCAGCCTCCAGGAGTGTTAAAAGTACACACATGCACCACCACACCCAGCTGAGACAATCAATTTATAAGAAGGAAAATTTTTTTTTGCCTCTTGTTTCCAAAGTTTCAGCCTGTGGTCACCTGTGACAAGGCAGAACATCATGGTGGGGAATGAATGATGGACCAAAACTGCTCCCTCCATGAAAGCTAGAAAGCAAAGATGGAGGGTAGAGGCCGGCTCTCAGAGTCTTCCTCAGTGGCGTGTGCTGAGTGACCTAACTTCCTTCCATCAGGCCCCACCTCCTAAGGATTCTGCTTCTCCAGGAGTACCACAACATGCTGACCGCGCCTTCAACACATGTGTTTTGTTTTGTGGTACTGGGGATTCAACCCAGGACCCCACACATGCTAGGGTGCTGCTCTATCACTGAATTCCCCAGTCCTTTTTATTTTTTATTTTGAAACGGGATCTTGCTAAGTTGCCCAGGCTGGCCTCAAACTCCTGGTCCTCCTGCTGCAGCCTCCTCAGTGGCTAGAATCTCAGGCATGCGCATGGTCTCTAACAACACATAGCCTCTGGGAGTCAATTTATAAACCATAGGGTGGGAGCATAGCTCAGTAATAGAGCACTTACCTAGCACATGTGAGGTCATGGATGCAATTTGCAGCACCTCCAAAAACAAATGCACAAACCGTAATATACACATTACATCCAAGATCAACACACTTCCTGCTGAATCTTGGATTTAAGGATAAAGAGCTCAACAGCAAGAAATGAGTTCGTCTTTCATTCCATTTTCTCCCAGAGACAAAACCTGTTTTGTCACAAAAACCACCTCCACTCTGAAACAAGATTGACTGTATATACACGTAATTCTTTTTCTTTTATAATAAAGTATGCAATTTATTAAGAATTTAACATGCAAATTCTTAGTTTTCTATATTTTCACCCCAAGAGTTCCTTGCTAGTTAAATAGGAAATGTATCTAATTTTTACCTCACTAAAAGAGTTTTTTTCCCCCACGTACCTTTTATGCATTTGAGAAATGTTAATTTCAGCATTATTAGTGTTATCAGGCATTGATCTTACCTTCTTTGAGGAACAGCAATGAACACAGTAAGACAGGTCTATCTCTATGGACTTTTCTCTACTAGGAGAGAATAGGTATGAAACATAGTTATTCAAATAAAATAGTTTCATCTAGTGCAATGTTTCTGAGCAGCATGGTGCTAGGTAACCTGAACCAGAATTTGGTGGAAATGTTTTCTAGTGCAACTTTTCCAAACTCACCTCATAGCTATACAGAATCAGAAAATATAGGGTGAGTACTGAAGTCTGTTATTTAAAAAAAAAAATCTTTTCGGTTGATCCTATTTCCTCTAAAAAGTGATAAACCCTATAGAGCTAGACACAAGGCTAACAGTATGACTGTGTATCAGGGATACTTGATGGAACACAGAGGGTCAGGAAAAATCCAGGAAGAAATGTGTTTGCATCCAGACTGAAAGGTGAATTGGAGTTGAGCAACAAAGGAGGACAGAGTGACAGCATGGAATGAGAAAAGAGCAAACGAAGACATTCCAGGCTGACGCCAGGCCAGGGAGTGCACATCTATAATGCTAGCACTCTAGGAGGCTGAGACAGGAGGATCAAAAGTTTGGGCCCAGCCTGGACAACTAAGCAATTTAGTGAGATCCTGTCACAAAGTTTAAAAGTTTAAAAGGGTCCGGGGAAATAATTCAGTGTAAAAGCCCTTGGATCACTACCCCATACCTAAATAAATAGTTTTGTGATTAAAAAAAAAAATCCTACAGGCCGAGCAAATCTTAATGCACAAAAAGTAGAGATGGTTAGACATTCTTCAGTGTCTTGGAAAAACTGAATGAAGAACAGTCAGTCTGGAACAGAGAGAGAGACAGAGAGCAGGACCTAATCTATAGGTCTCCTAGGCCAACAAGGGGATTTTGAATTTTACCCCAAAAGAAATCAAAAGCCATAAACATAATTTTTGAAAGTATGATTGGACTGGTGCTGGGGTGTAGTTCAGTGGAAGAGCTGTGCCTAGCATGCGTGATGTCCTGTTCTCAATCTCTAGCACCTCAAAATATCAAACATCCACACTCTTTCCTAAACAAACGCCAGGAAACATTGCTAAGCATATTTTCAAATAAAATGTATTGTGCATGTAATAAATACAGATGATCAATGATGGGTGGATGGATAGGTAGAGAGTCCTATTAAGAGGCAGAACATTGAGGGAATTCTGAAGAAGTGAGCAAGCAGAATCAGACACACAGACAGAGAAATACAGCTAAAAGAACTCACAAGTGGTAGCTCCTTTGCACCTTCATTTGGTACTTTTGAAGAGAGGCAGAGAGCCTGATGGTCCTACCACGCTGCGTTCAGAATGAAACAGGGTTTACAGTCCCACACAACTGTACAAAGGTCACCTAGCAAATTACCATGCAAGGAAATCATTTAAACTCAGAAACTGCCAGGTGTAGTGGTTGTGTTGCTTGTAATCCTAGCACTCAGTAGGCTGAGGCAGGAGGATCACTATAGAATTCAAGGCCAGTGTGGGCTACAAAGTGAGTTCAAGGCCATCCTGAACTGCATAGTGAAACCCTGTCTCAAAAAGAAAAAGAAAACTCAGAAATTTTGTACTTTTATTTTAATCACTTTCTACAGTGCTAGAAATCAAATTCAAGACCTTATCCGTGCTAGGCAACTGCTCTACCACTGAGCTACACTCCAGCTACTTTATTATTATGGATTTCCCTCCTTTTAACACTTCAGGAATTTTATTTATTCAGGAAAAAAGTCAGTTGAGCATTTACTCATTTCGCAGAAATTTTGCAACGTAAAAAGCAAGTTAATCTGCTGCTTCTGTTTGCAGGAGACTGGTAGATACAAACAGTGTGCTAATGTCTCCACTCGAGAAGGGTGTAATTGCACAGATGAGCAGAAATTCTCATATGCTGTTGCTTTCTCAGACTGCAAAGAAAAAGTAAGATTTTTTAAATTATCTGAACTCAGAGGATTTTCATATTAATACAAGTTGAAAATGTGCCTTTTGGCTAAACATGTAAAATTAGGCACAGGACTAATGTCTGACATAGGAGTAAGCATAACCAGAGCTAAAAGGACCTGGATTCTAATGTACCTACATGAACTCATTCAACTTATCTGCAGAATATAAGAAAAATACCTGCACTGCCTTGTACGTTGCACAGGATCCTTGGAAAGATAGATATCAGGGACCTGACCAACAGCCCCGATTGCCTGCAGTACAGCAAGAGGATAAAATAAAAAGCAGTGACAAACTTAGTAACACACGATGAGTGGCTGGCAAGTCAATGTCTCCAGCTGGGCCAAAACAGTGACCCTCTGAGACAGCCACTATTTACTGGGTGTACCGTGATGGTCAGGGCTAGCGAGAGATTCAAAGTTAGTGGAAAACTCAGAGGTTTGTGACTTAGCAGGCAAGTGTAATCTTGGGATGACTCAAGAGGGAAGAGATGATCTTATGCTAAGAAGGCTCTTGCCCTGGAGTATTTTTCAGATTTAGTGGTTTTAGTTTTAGTCTTAGTGAGGGAGAGAGGATAGCCCACCCCTAAAGAGTCAGTGGGAAGTCTCAAATGGGTGGGAACGATCATCCCAAACCTCCATTTTATCCCTTAGGGAAGTGTGCAAAATCAGCTATTGTAAATTTGTGGTCTCCAACAGATACACACATAGCCAGGTATCCTGGCATACACCTGTAATCCCAGCACTTGGGAGGCTGAGACAAGAGGATCACTATGAGTTCAAGGCCAGCATGGGCTATACAGTGAGTTTAAACCCAATCTGAACTACATAGTGAAACTCTGTCTCAAAAAATCAAAAAAGAAAAATGAAAGAGAGAGAGAAAAGAAGAGAGAGAAATACATAACAATACACCTATACAAAAGCAATTTGTAACTGTAAAATACCATGGTGAATGCTGAGTGTCTAATGCGTATCAAGTTCTTGTAATACAGTGACACGAGTCATTGTAAACCAGGAGGTCAGCTGGACGTCGTGGCCACACCTGTGATCTCAGCACTAAGGAGGCTGAGGCAGGAGGGTCACCTAGGTTAGAGTGAGTCCAGGCCAGCTGAAACTACATAGTCTCAAAAAAAGAAAACAAATTAGACATAAGGAATTCAATCTGGTGACAGTATAATAACAAAAGACAGTATAATATATGTTGCTTAAAATATATATATGTTGTATAAGAAAATGTATTAAATAATAGTTTATTTTATTAGTATTAATGTATCTGAAGAGCATAAAATTAATGTTGGTGTTTGCATGAACAGAATCACATGTGCAGTTGCTATAATTTTCAGGTGAGTATATTTCAAAAACCTTATAAGACACTACACAGCAAGTCTAGGAGTATTTCACTTCTGAATGCCCCCCTCTCATCCAGAATATCTAGCTGTCTTCTCCTTTTTTCTCCACCTTCAAAAGACACTATATAGAGAATCTATATATATTATACGGACATAACTGTATGTGGTTATATAAGATATATAGATAGACTACATCTATTTATGACTACATACATATAGAGCCTTGTATTAAGTGGTTTTTTTAGGTATAATAGAAGGTTGGGCATACACTCAGCAGTTAGTAAGTCACGGTTTTTAGTATATACCTCCTTGCTGCGTTAAAATAGTATTTCTTTGCCACCATCTACTCAGTGCTGCTTTAAGTGTTCTCCATGATTTATTCCATTAATTTGAGTCACAGAGAAACCAGGCAACTTTCTAAATGATATGTGAACAGGCACTGAAGCCAGGCGTGGTGGTGCATGCCTGCAATCCCAGCTTTTGGGAGGCTGAAGCAGAAGGATCAAGGAGAGTTTGAGCTTGCTCAGAGCCAGCCTGAACCACATCGTAAGACTGAAAAAAAAAAAAGCATTAAGCATTACAGCTGAATTTGAACACTGAATCCAGAGCCTGCAAGATAGTGGTTGGCAGGGAATGAGGTACAATTCAAGCAGAGCATCATGGGATATGGTTTAGCAAAAACAAAAATGATGTATAAACGACATGAGGGTGAAAAGACCAAACAAAAACTAAAAACTTCATTACCACAGTGTTTGTAATAAGGCCTTGGAATTCACACGGATTTTGCTGCAAGTACACCTTTTCATGACTCAAATGCAGAAAGCCTCAAAATCCTTTTTCATTTAGAATAGCTGAGTTACAAAGAACGTGTCTTAATTCTTGACCAGGAAGTGACATTACCCTTGAATAATCACTGTTGGAATTTTTATTTTAGGTTCCTCGTTTCAAGTTTCCGGTTACACAATATCCGATTTCTTTGGAAATTTTCAGTGACAATAAATTTGTTCCAGTGAAATTTCCGTATTTGGTTACTGTGACTGAAGTGAATAACAGGAAAAACTGGCAGCTAAGTAGGCTTTGCTGTCTTTTATAATTATTTGATCTTACAAGTAATACTCTTAGCACTTGTTTACAAGGATCAATGATTTACATAGCCTGTTTACACTAGCCGTAGCAGAGGTGGTTTGGAAGAAGGTTTCAATTCCTTGCCATGTTGCTGTTTACTTCTGTTGTCTACCCTTTAAATCGTCATCACTTGCAGTGTACTGGATTCTGCAACATGAAGTATTTCAACAACTTGAACTGCAAAAATATGGAAGCCATTTTGTAGATTAATAATGGACTGAATTTGTGCTAAATGTGGATGTAGGGTCTCAGGTTGTTGTTTTACCAGGAATTAAGCACCAGGGCCTCTTTATCAGTGAGCTACATTTCCAGCCCTTTTATATGTTTATTTTTAGACAAATTCTGGGGATTTAGCTCACAAGAGAGAAAGGGAGGATGGGAGAAAAAAAGAGAGATAAATTGCCTAAATTAGCCTTGAATTAATGATCCTCCTGCCTCAGCCTCCTGTATAACTGGGATTACAGGTGTGCACCACCAGGCCCAGCTTCTCATTTATTCAGTGTGGCACAGGAGGTTTTAAAAGGTGTTGCCAGATAATCTGGAGGATCTGACTTCTAATATTTTTAATCTTATTTTAAGATTCTACTTCTAATTATATGAATAACATTTCTAAGAAATTTTATGGTAAAATAATTAAAAAGATACAGAAATATATTTAAATAAGAAAAAGGAAATATACTTATATTCAGTTTTATCTTGAATGTACAACTTTTTGTTGCATGTTTTTTGTTTGTGTGAATATTATGTATGAGGAAACAGAACTAACTAGATAGAAATAACTGAATAGAAATTTTATCAGTCACTGATATATTACTAATTACACAGACATTTTGAATAGAATAAGTCTTATTCTGCCCAGTATATACGTGATTTTGAAATTTAAACACTCAGTGAAGTAAAACTACCAAATAATTTGGCTAAAATCACCATTTTCTGTGATGTGTTGCAGGCTACTCTTAACCAGATTAGCAGTACTAACTGTTAAATATTATAACATCTTACAAACTGATTGTTAAACCATTGGTAGTTTGAAATTAGCCATGGTAAGAATATTTACACTCTGGAAATTGGCTAATGCTCTAAGTGGAACTTATTTTTCTCCTTTAGATCCCATATACATTTATACCATTGGAATCTGAAATTTCTAACCCTGTACTTCCCAGAAAAAAATGGCATGAAAGCCAAGAATCCTTGATCCTTTCCATTGAAAAAGACTTAAGCAATCCTATTGTGAAACTTTTCTTCTACTTTGTTAAAAATCACTTACTCACCACCAAGGAGGTTGTAAGATGATCCACTGCCAAAAGCACAGTCCGTTAGGTCAGGACTGGTGGTGAGCAAAGGGCTGAAGGAAAAGTTCAGCCCGAAGAAAAGTGGTCAAAAGCCCTGACCTTCTCGAGGACGTCATGGAAGGATGTGAGATACTGGGCCTTATTTCCCTTAAAGATGTCTTCTAAAAGAGCACAATAGCTTAGTCATGTTGTAGAGTACAATATTTCATATGTAATATGATATATGTAGCAAGCTCTATGAAAAATGAGAAAGTGACTTATGTGTGCTTCAAATACATTTTATGTCTTTTTAGAACACAGTATACCAGAAAATATGAAAAAAATAAAGGCTTACTTAGAACCAATTCTTCAGAGTTCAGTGTATAATCCCTCAGGCCTCAACTTAAGTATAAAGGTAAGTTGGTAGAAATTTTTGTTGTGCTAGGTTTAGGTAAAACATATATGTCTAAACTACGATGTTATTTGTGTAGTACAGGTATCCATGAGTAGGGAAATAGCAACTTTAAGGTGAATGGGAAGAGTTGGTGGTATAGTTCCATGGTGAGATGTGTGCTTAGTATGCATAAGACGCTGGCTCAATCCCAACACCAAAAATTAAGTAAAAATGAAGTATTTACTTTTCCTCCATTTCCCTTGATGTTTTACTTCTAAAGGACATTAAATTAAATTTAACATCAACTTACTATCTTTCAAACTGTTGAACAAGATGGAGAATAAAGAGTATCTTTGTAACTTAGGGGAAAGAAACAAACTCAGTATTCTTCATGGGGATATACATGAAATACGTCTTCTAGTACCAGTTATCCATAAAAAACATATCAAGTTGATATAATTCAGGTAGTTATATAAACCATTAAAATTCGGGGACAAACTAGGTGTAGTGGCTCATGCCTAGAATCCCAGTACTCAGGCGCTGAGGCACAAGGATCCTTGCAAGTTCAAGACCAACGTGGGCTACAAAGTGAGCTCAAGACCAGCCTGAACTGCACAGCAAGACCCTGTCTCAAAAAGTCGAAAAAAGTGGGCAGTGGATAGATCAAAACTACAAATATAGAATTAGCCCAAAATATTCATCAAGTCTAGGAAATATAAATGTTAATGTTGCTAATGACCAGGTGTGTTTTTTCCTACAGGGCTCTGAACTTTTTCATTTCAGAGTGTCCATCATTCCAGGGGTCACTTTCTGTAACCTGGTTGAAGAATTTCAGGTAGAGTGAATGTATAAGGTATCAGAGCGGGCAGTGAATGAAAACATAGCACAAGTGCCAATCCAGGAGGCACAGAGGGGAAAAATGAGCAGAATTTGTGGCATGGGCAAGGTCAGGGAAAAGACATTCTGGAAAACGATTGCGTGGCTGCTTGAGAGATGCTAACTGTCTGCGTTACTCTCAGCAGAAGTTTGCTTGGTTTGTGGGAATCATAAAATACCCAGAGTTTTTCATTACCAGTCCCAGAAAGCTGAAAGACTTTGCTGTTTCTGTTGCAGATTTACGTTGACGAAGTTCCACTGCCATTCCCAGGACATTCACTTATCGCTGTTGCAGCAGCCTTTGTGCTAGGGGGATTAATTTTTTCAGCATTTATGCTCCAGCTGCACAACATCCACCCATGGAAGGCACTGCAGAGATGGATTAGAAGAAAAAAATCAGCCGTGTCAAATACCCCTGTCATGTAGCTGGCTTACAGATGAAAGTCTGGCAAGTGAACAAATGAGAACCCAAAATTCTCTTTATTTTCTAGTCTTATTAAATAAAGCATCAAATGATATATTCAAATGTTGAATATAAACTACATAAGTTACTAAAGAATTACCAGCATGACTCAATCTTTGGTCAATTTTTTGCCGTTCCATTTTCTCACTTGGAATACATAGAAAATTTCTTTCAGTTCATCTAAAAAAGAGTTTCCTTGAGGTTTTTTGAAAAACAAAGTGATAACCAACTCTATGTGAAATGGGTTTTCTAAATTTTTTCTCTTACTGGCTGGAGCCCCGTATGTTGAAGTGCTAGAGGGGAAGAACAAGCTGGGCTCACGCGGAGGCTGTGAGCCAGGTCAGTGCAGCGAGGCTTCACTGGAGATGAAGGAGAAAGAATGGACTGCTGGTGAGAGAGAGTCCTTATGTGACTGTGAGGCCAAGCTCAGAGACATTTTCTTACTGTAAAGCCTCCTCTTACCGAGGAAAGTACTGTAAACTGATCACTGCTGTGAAGAGATCTTAGGCCCCGAGATTTGAGGCACCTCTTGGCTAGGCAAGTTTAAGCAGATCTCAAATACCCCAAAGGGGACGAAGGGAGATCTCCCCAAGAGGAGTTTTAAGCTGTCTTTGTACTATGGGCAAGGCTCAGAGAAAAGACATTTTGGAGAAGAGGAGCTTTAAGCTGTCTTTGTGCTATGTAAGTGCTAAGTGTCTTTAGTAAAAGTATGTTGTTTGGGGGAATAATTAATTGAGTCATTGCTATAGATACAAAGCATATACCTGGGAGAGGTTTCTGCAAGGAGTTGAAAAATGGGTTGAAAGTATTGCACAAGACAAAGATTAAACCCAAGCCAGCAAAAAAATAAATAAATAAAACCAAAAGAGCATTCAAACGAATAATCAAAATCAAACCTGTATCAAAACCCAACATATATACAGAACACAGAGATCTGGAGCTGGAAGCCTAATGAGTCTCCACTCTCCAGTCGAGGAGGGAGCTAAGAGGCTTAAAAGCCTCCATTTGGCAGGCATGGTGCTGCATGCCTATAATCCCGGCACGCTGGTGGGTGAGCTTGGAGGATCAGACGTTGTGCTTGCCTGAGCAACGTAACAATTTAGCCAGACCCTGTCTCAAGGCAAAAAAATAAAAATACAGCCTAGTGCAAAGGCCTAGACTCAATCCCCCATACCGCCAGAAGAAAAAAAGAGGGGAAAAAAAAGACTCAAAACCTGAGCAAAGATGGGTGGGAACCAAGCTCCCAGATCCATTGCTCCCTGCCCTTCTCTGCACCCCTTACCACTCAGACTAATTTTGCTGCTGCCATCCGATGGTTAGATGGCGCTATCTCCCCTTAATTGTGTGGGGTTTTATCATCCTCTTTGCTAACAATCTTACTCATTTTGGGCAATCATTTTTTTCCACATTTTGTAGAACCAGCCTACTACTAGACATATATCATCTCTTGGGAGTCTGCTCAGGACCCTAATCAATAAATTTATCTCATTTCTGTTGTCTAATTTTTTGTTCTAATCCCCATGATTACATTCTCTCAGAGTCTAATTCTGTCACTACTATCCTGGCTTCAGCCAGTACTACTGATGTAGTCTTTGCAAAGCACATACCTGACAAAGAATTCACATCCAGAATATATTTTTAAAAACACTCAAAAATCAATAGTCTGAGATTTGGCTTCAGGTCCCTGCAAGGATACTGGATTCCTCCTGTGCAGGGGATCACCGGGCTGGAAAATTGTTGTGAACCTCACAGGCAGGGTTAACAAGTGTAGAGTGATCGGCCCCATGTGTGATGTGCAGCTGAAAGACCTAGAAAAATGGCAGAAAAATCTGCTCCCGTCCTGTCACTTTGATTTCATTATACAAACAAACTCAGCTGGCATCATGGACCATGAAGAAGCAGGACAAAAACACACAGGAAGGAAATTCTTTAGGGATGTAAAACATACAAATAAAGTGTCTTGGTGGATTCTGGTGTCAAAAAAAACCCTCAAAACTCAGTTCTCATAATATGGGGCTGAGGATATAGCTCAGCAGCACAGCACTGTCTGGCAAGCACAAAGTCCTAAGTTCAATTCCCAGCACCAAAAAGAAAATGACTCAGTGTTTAAAATGGCACATGATGTGAATGCTTCAATAAGAAGGTAAAGCACAGTGCAATAGTATGGATCTCAAATGCTCCCCAACACACACACACACACACACACACACACACACACACACACGTATGTCCATGTTTTAAAGGCTTGATTCCCAGGGTGATAATAATGGGAGATGATGGAACCTTTGAGAGATGGTGTCTAATAGGAGGTTCTTCATCATTAAGGCCATGGCTTTGCAGGAGATTTCATAACTTTGGTCCCTTCCTCTCCACTTCCTGCCATGAATTGAACCATTGGTCTACTGTGCCTTGTTATGGTTTATACCTAAAACATCCCCCCAGGACTTCAAGGAAGATGACAGAGTGGTGAGCAGTGGCAAATGAGCTTCTCTGAGATTTGGAGTCCAAACACTGGAAAATGACAACATAGGAAAGAGGAGAAGGAGGGAGTGGGTCCTTGGGACCCAGCAAGGTTCTGAGCCAAGAACTGGATCCCATGCGGGGAGCGAAGAATGGAACCTCAATGCAGAAGAGGGAAATGGCAAGCAGGGCTTTCTCCCTGAGTCCCAGCTCGTGGTGTAGAGGGTGTAGCTTGAACCAGCAGAGGCAATTTTACTCCTGGTGACTCCAGAAGCCTCTACAGAGTACACACCTGTGGAATGGGGCAGTGGATGCTGCAGACTACAGTGACTGGTGAGTAATTCCAGTCCAGTTCAGACATCCCCAGGAGGGGGCAATTGGCTGGTTGCCATTTTGGAAATGGGCCAGCTGAGCTCAGGATTCAGAGCAGCAGTGAGTTGACTCCATCTCAGGGCTCCCAGGGACAGGGTGAGCACAGCTGTGGGAGACACCTAGGATCAGGGAGCCAAGTTCAAGTGGCCAGGAGGCATCTGGAATGCTATGAGTTAAACCACTAGGGTCCCAGCATCACAGCCAGAAACCAGAAGCAGCCTGACCTTCAGTAGAAATGAAAGCACTAGCTTGCTGGGTTTGGCTGTCACCCCGCCATAATTCTACTGCAGGATTAGCACTACAGATCAACCATAATTCTACTGCTAGATTGGAACTCTGCTAGTACCCTTTGTCTTCCAGGGACAGCAGGGACACACCCAGAAGTGGACATTTTTGTTTTCTTTTACTTGATTGTTTGCTCTTGTTTTTAGATGACTGTGAACATTGTTCCTAGTTTTTTGTGGCTGTTTTGTTTTGTTCTTGTTTCTTTCTCTTTTCTTTCCCTACTGTCTTCTTCACCAGTTTCTCAAAGTGTATATAATCTTCCATTATCCTTCAGCCTTGCTTCTAATTTCTTTCTCTTCTATTTTTCTGTTTTCTCCCCAGCCCTTGTTAAATTTCTTTCCTCAAGTGTAAAATTACCATATATCTCGGTTACTTTTTTACTCGTTGCTGAGACAAAATACCTGAAGCCCAAAGTTGGGAAAGGAAAGGTTTATTTCTTACAGTTTTTGGAGGTTTCAGTCCATACTCAGTTGGTTCCAAGGCAAGTTGGCATAGCAGGGCTGCAGTTCATGGTGGCTGCAAATGGCAAGGCAGAAACCAACGCAAAAACCGGCAAGAGAGCAAGACAAACCTTCTTCCTACCATTACATTACATCCTGGCTCCACCCCTAGGCCAGTGTAGCACTCACATCCCCAATCCAAGCACTAGACAATGAACCAATCACAAGTGCATAATGCAAATGCATGAGGCCTGGGGGCCACCAACAAAAACCATGACACCATATTAAGGAGGAATTTACTGTATACAATTTTATGATTTGTTTTAGATTTTGTTGTACAACTACAAATCTTGTTCATATGTTTAAAAGGAACAAATATTTCCCACTATTCAGGGCCAGGGACATAGCTCAACAGCACGGCACCTGCCTGGCAAGCATGAGGTTGTAAGTTCAATCCCCGGTACCAAAAATAGAATATTTACTACTGTTTGTCATTTCTAGGTGTTATTTCCATGCTTGATGCCATTGTTATTACTAATGATACTACTTTAACCGAAGTGACATAGTTGTTCTAATCAATTGTTCTTCCTCATATGCCAAGTGATCACTTGAGAGTCACAAACAATACTACAGGCCAGTACCAAAGAACAAGGAACTAAGCCAAAGAGGCAACAACCTTTCATTCCAATACATTGAAAAGATAGGATCTTGCAACAAACTCAAAAGCCAATCATCAGCTACACCTAGAAGACATCTCTGAAAACTAATAATTTCCTAAGAGTTCTCAATACTAGCAATAAAGCTACCTACCATATGCAATTTTATAAGCATCAACCCAAAAACTAAACTAATATATATATAATGAGAAGACTCAGCAACAAGATGCAACCCCCAACTTCCAGCTCACCAAAGGCAAGCCCGGGGGAGTGAAATGGAATAGTTCAGTAGCCACCCACCTTAGCTCTTCAAATGATAACAGCAAAATTAACAAGGCAGATAAATGAGGCTCTAGAAGAAATTAAATTAGAAGTAATTTCTCAGATAATTAAAGAGACAATGACCATAATGAAGGACATAGTGAATCTAGAGTAGATACAGATCTTTTAAAAATAGAGAAGCTTAGGAAAACGATGGAAACCACAAATGCCAAGCATAGGAAAGAAATGGAGTCCATGAAACAGATTCAAACAAATATCCAGGAGATTAAAAATTCTACTGAAAATGTACTCACCAAAATGAACCAATGTGAGGACAGAATATCAGATTTAGAAGGCGGGATTGCATTTAGCCATCATAAAAGAAAGATTTCCTTAAAATAACAAAAGACCATGAGAAATCAGTCCAACAGCTGCTAGGTGATGCAAAAAAAGAATAATCTAAGATTGATCAGAGTCCATGAAAAAGCAGGAGATAAGGCAAACAACATAAAAAATCTTGACAGAAGTCATGGCAGAAAACTTCACAACCACAGAAAAAGAATTTCACATAACTGTTAAGTGAAGCACGTAGAATTCTAATTAGCCATGTTCTAAAAAATCTTCACCAAGGCATATAATAGTCAAGATTCCAGAAATTCAACATCATTAAAGAACATTAAAAGAACAAGAAATCAACAAGAAACAAGCCCTTGTCCCTGTGAACCAGCATCATGCATGGGCTGCCATCATGGTGGGACATTCAGACCCCATCCTTTTCCTGTGAGTC